AAATATATAATAAGACTGATAATATAAAATTGTTTTTCTTTGGTAAGTGGATGGTCAGTGAAGCCAAACAACATGTGTTCAAAACAAAGAGAAAAATGTGTCTCAACAGAGGTAGAGATCAGAACACATTTATCTTCACACAACTGAGTGGAAAGACCAAAACAAGTGATGATCATCCTCAGGGTGGCCTTCACACAAACAGCACATTACATTTATATCTTTTTTAAAGCGTTGCAAAAATATTTTAGATGGGTAAATTCTATGAATAATTTTAAAGGATACTTCTCTTACTTTATTATTGATCATATATTTAGTTGGTAAAGTCCAAATGTTTTCCAGTTAAGGTCATCAGTAAATGTGTTCCAGTAAGATACTACATATGGAGTAGATACAACATCTCTCTGAAATAATGAGCGTATACGACGGTTGTTATTACGTACAGAAGAAAAACTAATTTGGCCAATTTCAAGTTTGGTTGGATCAAAAGGTAATAAATTCAGATTCTGTCTTATATTTTAAATAACATAAATACACCAGCAGGAATTGCAGCTGTAACAACATTAAACTCATTAATGGGAATGTTGATTTTGTATTTTGAAATAAATTCTTGATATGACATTAATGACCCGTCTACATTAAACAGCTGGTGAACCAGGACTATGTTGTGAGTAAACCAATTTGGGTAAAATAAGGATTTGTTTTTATATAATATGTTTATATAAAATGTCTGGAGAGCTAGCTCCAGTAGATGGCGGTAACACCAAGTGGATGTCAACTTCCGACCGATGAACCTCACAGAAGAAGAAGAAGAAGAAGAAGAAGTAAACATGAACCCCAGGAAGCTGCCTCCTCCCCGGGTGAGTGGTTCTCCGAGGTACCGGCCCATTGTTGTGTGTTTGCGGGCATGTGTTAGTGAGTGAGCTGATGTAGAGAAGCAGCTCCCAGCCTCACAGCTACACGAACATCCTCTGTGTGGCTAACTTCAGGGGTTAGCTCCGCGTTAGCATCGTGGACATTAAACTCATTTAAACTCATTTAAACTCATTTAAACTCTACATGATCCGAACTAACAATGATCGAGATCGAAGAATATTGTATGAAACATAAGTTTACAGTATTGATATTAATATTTAATTAATATTTATTTGACTTTTTCCAATGTTTTTGTTATTGCTAACCAAAGTACTTCCGGATAAAACTTTCAAAATAAAAGCAAGTGCACAAAATGATTCACCAAACCATTATAGAAAAATCATAATCTCATTACAATCAGACTTTTTTAGACATTGACTTTATTTCCTTAGAAATTATGTGAAATTGTGTTTTTTTCCCACAAAATACCAGCAGCTATTGTTTTCATGTCAAATAAACAACATTATTTATTTTTGTCCATATTTTTGTACCCTAATCTTATTATTTTATAACAAAAAAGGCAAAAAAAAAAAGTTCTTAGTTGTAATTTTTTAGTGTGTTTAATTCAGAAAACATTTTCAGGACCCCACCTTGATGCTTCAGGATGGTTACAATAGAAATGAAAGAGGCAAGAAAATCAGCACAGTACAGAGAAGTACATGAAACAAAGCTTACTGTGGAAGGTGCAGAGCCAAACTGGTAACTAACTGGACATTGTGGTCGACATGTAGAATAAAGAGAGTCAACCTGGTTAATCTTCAGACTTCTGGATGAACTTTCATCAGGATGAACAATCAGACACGTCCTGCCCTCTGGTGGTGCAGAAACTACACCAGGAACTACTTAAACTCCCGTTTCAAACATGCATGTCTGCTGTTTGACATGATGGTGGGAAAATGAAGCAGTTTGGTTGAAAAACTGCTGATATTATCTAAGTGAATCTAACTGACCAATTATCTCATCTAATCATATCTCCATGCTATTAGTGACAGTGGAACATGTTCCAGTGCAGCAGAACTGCATTGTAATATAAATGTAAATCTTGTTTCTAACTAAAGTGTTGTGTGTTTTCTTTGCTTCACTGGACTTTAAAGACATAAAAATTAATAACTGGACGAGTACAGAAGCCAAAAATGAAATCTGAGAGCAAAAGAAAATGACTTTGGCCCAAAGAAAAATCAAGTTTCTTTGCAGCCCATCATCTGTGATGAATGAATGAATGAATGAATGAGTGAATGAATGAATGAGTGAGTGAATGAATGAATGAGTGAATGCCTGTGATGTGTGTCCCATCAGTGTATGAATGTGATCGGCACTGATTAGTCTTTATAACAGGGTTTCCCCCAGAAAACCGGCTGAGCCCGGTGGTAGGGCCGCTTTGGCAGCCCACCAAAAAAAATGTTAATATTGACAAGAAATGTGAAATTATGACATAATATAATGTAATTATGTGATTTAAGTGACACCACAGATTTTCAATAATCTTCAGGTCTGGGGACTGAGATGACCATTCCAGAACGTTCTACTTGTTCCTCTGCATGAAGGCCTCAGTAGATTCTGAGCAGTGTTTAGGGTGGTTGTCTTGTTGGAAGATGCAGCCCCAGCTGGGTCTTCCCGTGCCGAAGCTTAGGAGCGTGTGTCGGGGAATTCCAGAAGTTTTCAGTGATTCGAGGCATGTGAAGTTACGTCACTGGTGACGTCTGAAGCTTCACTGGTTCATGAAGTGATTAGAAATTTAGCTATTAAGCTATTTAAATCGCAATGGATCCCTGTAACACTCCCGTGCAAATATTCTTGAACTTTGTTACTTTACGAGTGAGAGAGTGAGAGAGAGAGAGAGAGAGAGAGAGAGAGAGAGAGAGAGAGAGAGAGAGAGAGAGAG